ATGCACTGTTCTTCATGGCCACTAGGTGGTGCTCCAACCACAATATCTCTACCTGAACCTTGAGAACCTGATTACCACGAGGTCCTACAACAGGCTCCTAGTGAAAAGGCCAGTCTTGGATACATCTACTGTTGTCAGATCCAGGCTTTTCTTCCTGGCAATGTTGTCAACAGTCACTTAACCACCCACTCCAGGGTCTGAACAGTGAAGCCATGATCACTGCAAACATCTTCCACAACCTTCCAACCACAATAGCCTAGCCAACATGTGTAGAGGGAAGATTCTGTGGGAAGGACAATGTTGGAGCCTTAGGTCTGTGCTGGCCCAGCTGTGTCCTAGTAAACTTCCACCCAGACTTCATTTGGGCTAGCAGTTCAGCATTTGCCAGCACAGGGGACTTACCCCAGGAAGCTAAGATCCAGAGTTTCCTGGTCTGTGAACAAAACTTCTCTCCTTACTTCCTAGATTTTCTTCAGTTACATCCTATTTCCCAAGTAAGTTCTGAGCCATTTCCCATAAGAAATGTGCATGTTTACAGCTTCAAAGAAGGACAAATCTCCATATCTGAGTCAGTTTGCAAACATAGGCCAGGGTATGTGATATCCTCACAAAAGCTAAGTGGCATAGAAAAGGGGGCAATTTCCAATGATTCAAATGTATGAATTTCCAAGATCATTATAATGACATGTGTAGCTAATAAAAAAAATTAAATTAAATTAAATTTAAATTTAAATAAATTTTAAAAAATTAAAAAAGGGATAAAGAAGGACACTATATACTGTTAAAAGGAACCATCCACCAACAAGACATAACAATTATCAATATGTATGCACCAAATAATGGTGCTGCAACGTTCGTAAAACAAACTCTCCTCAAGTTCAAGAGTCAAATAGACCACAACACAATAATTATGGGTGACTTCAACACACCACTCTCTCCATTGGACAGATCCTCCAGACAAAAGCTGAATAAAGAAACTATAGAACTCAATAACATAATCAATAACCTAGACTTAACCGACATATATAGAATATATCAACCATCATCAAGTGGATACATGTTCTTCTCAGCAGCACATGGATCCTTCTCAAAGATAGACCATATATTATGCCATAGGGCAACTCTTAGTAAATATAAAGGTGTGGAGATAATATCATGCATCTTATCTGATCATAATGGAATGAAACTGGAAATCAATGATAAAAGAAGGAAGGGAAAATCCTGCATCACCTGGAAAATGAACAATATGTTACTGAATGATCAATGGGTTACAGAAGACAAAAAGGAGGAAATCAAAAAATTCTTAGAGACAAATGAAAATACAGACACAACATATTGGAATCTATGGGACACAATGAAAACAGTTTTAAGAGGGAAATTCATTGCCTGGAGTTCATTCCTCAAAAAAAAGAAAAAACCAACAAATAAATGAACTCATACTTCATCTCAAAACCCTAGAAAAGGAAAATAAAAACAACAGCAAATGTAGTAGAAGGCAAGAAATAATTAAAATCAGAGCGGAAATCAACGAAATTGAAACAAAAAAAAAAAAACATTGAAAAATTTGATAAAACTAAAAGCTGGTTCTTCGAAAAAATAAATAAGATCGACAGACCCTTAGCCATACTAACGAAGAGAAGAAGAGAGAAAACTCAAATTACTAACATATGGGATGAAAAAGGCAATATCACAACGGACACTACAGAAATACAGAAGATAATTAGAAATTATTTTGAAACCCTATATTCCAATAAAATAGAAGATAGTGAAGATATCGATAAATTTCTTAAGTCATATGATTTGCCCAGATTGAGTCAGGAAGGTACACACAATTTAAACAGACCAATAACAAAGGAGGAAATAGAAGAAGCCATCAAAAGACTACCAACCAAGAAAAGCCCTGGACAGGGTGGATATACAGCGGAGTTTTACAAAACCTTCAAAGAAGAATTAATACCAATACTCTTCAAGTTATTTCAAGAAATAGAAAAAGAAGGAGCTCTGCCAAATTCATTCTATGAGGCCAACATCACCCTGATCCCGAAACCAGACAAAGACACTTCAAAGAAAGAAAACTACAGACCAATATCTCTAATGAACTTAGATGCAAAAATCCTCAATAAAATCCTGGCAAATCAAATACAAAAGCATATCAAAAAAATTGTGCACCATGATCAAGTAGGATTCATCCCTGGGATGCAAGGCTGGTTCAATATACGGAAATCAATAAATGTTATTCACCACATCAATAGACTTAACGATAAGAACCACATGATCATCTTGATAGATGCAGAAAAAGCATTCGACAAAGTACAGCATCCCTTTATGTTCAAAACTCTAGAAAAACTAGGGATAACAGGAACTTACCTCAACATTGTAAAAGCTATATATGCTAAGCCTCAGGCTAGCATCATTATGAATGGAGAAAAACTGAAGGCATTCCCTCTAAAATCTGGAAGAAGACAGGGATGCCCTCTCTCACCACTTCTATTCAATTTAGTTCTTGAAATACTAGCCAGAGCAATTAGACAGACAAAAGAAATTAAAGGCATAAAAATAGGAAAAGAAGAACTTAAATTATCACTATTTGCCGATGATATGATACTGTATCTAACAGACCCAAAAGGGTCTACAAAGAAACTACTAGAGCTAATAAATGAATTCAGCAAAGTGGCAGGATATAAAATCAACACGCATAAATAAAAGGCAGTCCTGTATATCAGTGACAAATCTCCTGAAATGGAAATGAGGACAACCACCCCATTCACAATATCCTCAAAAAAAATAAAATACTTGGGAATCAACCTAACAAAAGAGGTGAAAGATGTATACAATGAAAACTACAGAACCCTAAAGAGAGAAATAAAAGAAGACCTTAGAAGATGGAAAAATATACCCTGTTCATGAATAGGAAGAACTAACATCATCAAAATGGCGATATTACCCAAAGTTCTCTATAGGTTTAATGCAATGCCAATCAAAATCCCAACGGCATTTCTTGTAGAAATAGATAAAGCAATCATGAAATTCATATGGAAGAACAAAAGACCCAGAATAGCAAAAGCAATTCTAAGCAGGAAGTGTGAATCAGGCGGTATAGCAATACCAGATTTCAAACTATACTACAGAGCAATAGTAACGAAAACAGCGTGGTACTGGTATCAAAACAGGTGGGTGGACCAATGGTACAGAATAGAGGACACAGAGACCAATCCACAAAATTACAACTTTCTTATATTTGATAAAGGGGCTAAAAGCATGCAATGGAGGAAGGATAACATCTTCAACAAATGGTGCTGGGAAAACTGGAAATCTATATGCAACAAAATGAAACTGAATCCCTTTCTCTCGTCATGCATAAAAGTTAACTCAAAATGGATCAAAGAGCTTGATATCAAATCAGAGACTCTGCACCTGATAGAAGAAAAAGTTGGCTCCGATCTACATATTGTGGGGTCGGGCTCCAAATTCCTTAATAGGATGCCCATAGCACAAGAGTTAATAACTAGAATCAACAAATGGGACTTACTCAAACTAAAAAGTTTTTTCTCAGCAAGGGAAACAATAAGAGAGGTAAATAGGGAGCCTACATCCTGGGAACAAATTTTTACTCCTCACACTTCAGATAGAGCCCTAATATCCAGAGTATACAAAGAACTCAAAAAATTAAACAATAAGATAACAAATAACCCAATCAACAAATGGGCCAAAGACCTGAACAGACACTTCTCAGAGGAGGATATACAATCAATCAACAAGTACATTAAAAAATGCTCACCATCTCTAGCAGTCAGAGAAATGCAAATCAAAACCACCCTAAGATACCATCTCACTCCAGTAAGAATAGCAGCCATTATGAGGTCAAACAACAACAAGTGCTGGCAAGGATGTGGGGAAAAGGGTACTCTTGTACATTGCTGGTGAGACTGCAAATTGGTGCGGCCAATTTGGAAAGCAGTATGGAGATTCCTGGGAAAGCTGGGAATGGAACCACCATTTGACCCAGCTATTGCCCTTCTCGGAATATTCCCTGAAGACCTTAAAAGAGCGTACTACAGGGATACTGCCACATCGATGTTCATAGCAGCACAATTCACAATAGCTAGACTGTGGAACCAACCCAGATGCCCTTTAATAGATGGATGATAAAAAAAATGTGGCATTTATACACAATGGAGTATTACGCAGCACTACAAAATGACAAAATCATGGAATTTGCAGGGAAATGGATGGCATTAGAACAGATTATGCTAAGTGAAGCTAGCCAATCCCTATAAAACAAATGCCAAATGTCTTCTTTGATATAATGAGAGCAACTAAGAACAGAGCAGGGAGGAAGAGCAAGAAGAAAAGATTAACATTAAACAGAGACATGAGGTGGGAGGGAAAGGGAGAGACAAGGGAAATTGCATGGAAATGGAAGGAGACCCTCATTGTTATACAAAATTACATATAAGAGGTTGTGAGGGGAAAGGGGAAAAAAAGAAAAAAACAAGGGAGAGAATTAAATTACAGCAGATGGGGTAGAGAGAGAAGATGGGAGGGGAGGGGAGGGGAGGGGGGATAGTAGAGGATAGGAAAGGTAGCAGAATACAACAGTTACTAATGTGGCATTATGTAAAATGTGGATGTGTAACCGATGTGATTCTGTAATCTGTATTTGGGGTAAAAATGGGAGTTCATAACCCACTTGAATCTAATGTATGAAATATGATATGTCAAGAGCTTTGTAATGTAATGGATTTGAACTTTATACCCTAGGGATATGGTGGAAACTGTTTGAGTAGGACTGATGGGGTTATGTGCTGGAAGATGGAAGCAGCCTCGGCGTGGGGCGATGGGGAGCCTCGTGGTGGTGGCTGGGAGAGTGGCAGGTGAAGGTAAGCCGTTCTGATGGCAACCAACTGACTCTTGAAGAAAGAAGAAATAATGTAGTCATAACAGTGACACAGAGAAACAAAACCGATTTCTGGAGCAGACAGAACCGTGGCAATCAGGACATGGACACTGTCCAGATCATGAATTATACGGTCCCCCAAAATGGAATCTTTAAGATTGAATTCCCAATCCTGGACAACTCCAGTGAGCAACAGCTGAGGGCTTATTTTCTTGCTAGTGTAAGTAGCATGGCAGTTCATGGCATGTTTACATCTCCTAGTAAGACATACATCCAGCTAAAAGCAAGAGATGAAAATATAAAGATGGGATCACCTTTTGAATTGGTGGTCAATGGCAACAAGCAATTGAAGGAATTTAGCTATATGGTAATATCCAAGGGACAGTTGGTGGCTGTAGGCAAACAAAATACAACAACCTTCTCTTTAATACCAGAAAGTTCTTGGGCACCAAAGGCTTGTATAATTGTGTATTATGTTGAAGATGATGGAGAAATTATAAATGATGCCTTAAAAATTCCTGTTCAGCTTATTTTTAAAAATAAGATAAAGCTGTTTGGGAGCAAAGCTAATGCTGAACCTTCTGAGAAAGTCTCTCTCAGGGTCTCTGTAACACAGCTGGACTCAGTAGTTGAGATTGTAGCTGTTGACAAAAGTGTGAATCTGATGAATGCCTCAAATGATATTACAATGGAAAATGTGGTCCATGACTTGGAACTTTATAACACAGGATATTATTTAGGCATGTTTATGAATTCTTTTGCTGTCTTTAAGGAATGTGGTCTCTGGGTATTGACCGGTGCAAACCTTGTGAAGGATTATGTTGATATTGTTTATGATACTTCGGAGTATGCTGAGATGTTTGTGGAGGAAACCCAGGGGTATCTAGTAGATATTAATGATTTTTCTTCATTTAGCAACCCACGTGTAAGAAAGCATTTTCCAGAGACTTGGATTTGGCTAGACACTGATATGGAATCCAAGATTTACCCGGAATTTGAAGTTACAGTACCTGACTCTATCACTTCTTGGGTGGCTACTGCTTTTGTGATCTCCGAAGACTTAGGTCTTGGGTTAACAACTGCCCCAGTGGAGCTACAAGCCTTCCAACCATTTTTCATTTTTTTGAATCTTCCCTACTCTGTTATCAGAGGTGAAGAATTTGCTTTGGAAGTAACCATATTCAATTATTTGAAAGAGGCCACTGAGGTTAAGGCAATCATTGAGAAAAGTGATGGATATGATATTCTATTGACTTCGAATGAAATCAATGCCACAGGACACCAGCAGACCATTCTGGTTCCCAGTGAGGATGGGGCAACTGTTGTTTTTCCTGTCAGGCCAGCACATCTGGGAGAAATTCCTATCACAGTTATGGCTATTTCACCCACTGCTTCTGATGCTATCACCCAGAGGATTTTAGTAAAGGCTGAAGGAATAGAAAAATCATATTCACAGTGCATCCTACTAGACTTGACTGACAACAAACTGCAAACCACCATGAAATCTTTCAGTTTCTCATTTCCTCCTGATATGGTCAGTGGCAGTGAAAGAATTCAGATCACTGCAGTGGGAGATGTTCTTGGGCCTTCCATCAATGGCTTAGCCTCGCTGATTCGGATGCCTTATGGCTGCGGTGAACAGAACATGATCAATTTCGCTCCAAATATCTACATTTTGGATTATCTGACAAAGAAGAAACAACTGACAGATATTATAAAAGAAAAATCACTTTCATTTATGAGGCAAGGTTACCAGAGGAAACTTCTCTACCAGAGGGATGATGGCTCCTTCAGTGCTTTTGGGAATAATGACCCTTCTGGGAGCATTTGGTTGTCGCTTTTGTTTTAAGATGTTTCCTTGAAGCTGATCCTTACATAGATATTGATCAGAATGTGTTACACAGGACATATACTTGGCTCAAAGGACATCAGAAATCCAATGGTGAATTTTGGGAGCCAGGAAGAGTGATCCATAGTGAACTTCAAGGTAGCAATAAAAGTCCAGTAACACAGCCTATATTGTGACTTCTCTCCTGGGATACAAGAAGTATCAGCCTAATATTGATGTTCAAGACTCTGTCACATTTTTGGAGTCTGAATTCAGTAGAGGAATTTCAGACAATTACACTCTAGCTCTTATAACTTACGCGTTGTCATCAGTGAAAAGTCCTAAAGCAAAGGAAGCTTTGAATTTGCTGACTGAGCATGCAGAACAAGAAGGAGGCATGCAATTCTGGGTGTCATCAGTATCCACGTTTTCTGAGTCCTGGCAACCATGCTGTCTGGATATTGAAGTTGCAGCTTATGCACTACTTTCACACTTTCTGCAGTTTCAGATTTCCAAGGGAATCCCAATTATGAGGTGGCTAAGCAGGCAGAGAAATAGCTTGGGAGGCTTTGCATCTACCCAGGATACCATTGTGGCCTTAAAGGCCCTGTCTGAATTTGCAGCTCTAATGAATACAGAAAGGACAAATGGCCAAGTGACTGTGCTGCAGCCTAGCTCATCGAGTCCCGTAAAGTTTCTGATCGATACACAGAACCGCTTTCTCCTTCAGACAGCAGAGATTGCTGTAGTACAGCCAACTACAGTTAATATTTCTGTAAGTGGTTTTGGATTTGCTATTTGTCAGTTCAATGTTATTTATAATGTGAAAGATTCAGGGTCTTTTAGAAGAAAAAGGTCTATCCAAAAGCAAGAAGGCTTTGATTTAGATGTTGAAGTAAAAGATAATAAAGATGATGTCAATCATGTGAATTTCAATGTGTGTACAAGGTTTTTGGGCCCAGATAGGAGTGGCATGGCCCTTACGGAAGTTAACCTTCTTAGTGGCTTTACTGTGCCTTCAGATGCAATTCCTCTAAGCGAGACAGTGAAGAAGGTGGAACATGATCATGGAAAGCTCAACCTCTATTTAGATTCTGTAAATTAAACCCAATTTTGTACTGATATTCCTGCTGTGAGAAACTTTAAGGTTTCAAATGCCCAAGATGCTTCTGTATCCATAGTGGATTACTATGAACCAAGGAGACAGGCGGTGAGAAGTTACAACTCCAGAGTGAAGCTGTCCTCTTGTGACCTTTGTGGAGATGTCTAGGGCTGCCATCCTTGTGAGGATGGAGCTTTAGGCTCCCTTCATCACTCTTCAATCCTTGTTATTTCCTGTGTCATGCTCCTGTTCTCTCTGCAATGTTGGTTGTAACTTATTTTTAAAGGACTCCATGTAAAATGAACATTTCCAAAAGTCATATGTGATTTTTTTCATAATCCAATATTGCCTCTGACCTATTTGAAAAACATTTTTTCCCACCTTCTGTGGGACTTGGGAGATGGTCATCAGGTCTTAGTATGTAGAGTTGCATAGATTTCTTCACCTGACCTTGGTGGGGAAGGTCAAAATGATTGCAGTTGTGTATCTTTTTTTTCTCCCTCTTGAAATCTTTTAGGATTGTTTTGAGAAATGTTTGTTTTCTCCACAATAGAAGTGTTATTTTAGATTATCATTATTAACCGAGGTTCTTCAGCATTATCACATTAAGAGTTTGCTTTAGTATTCAAGATGGGTTTCCCTGGGAAACTGCAAGAAGAACTTGTTCTCTGTCCTTCCTACCCTAACCTTACTGCCCATCTCATGCCCCATGGTCTCAGTACATTTTTTTTAAGTGGACACTACTTTCTTTTTAGAATGTAGGTAGTGAATTTTTAAGAGTTAAATGATCTTTTCCCTCTCCAAAACTTTTTACCTGTGCTCTCCTTTTTGTCTAGAGAGAATGAGAAAGGTTAAGCTCAGGGGTGAGGAACATACTGAAAACTGTTATTAAGGGTGCTGCTGCTGAGCTCTGCCCTCAGGCCTCAGCCCCACACCTTGGCTGTGACAGGACAAAGTTCATTACTGCAGTGTGTGCCTTAGGTGACTCAGACCAGAATACCTTAGGACAGGAGATGATCTGAGCCAGGGCACAGCTACTCTGCACATCAGCCACAGCAGACTGACCTCCCTGTGGTCTGGGGAAGGGTCAGGGTTTGTGGGGACCACAGAGTCTTGACATGACTGTTGATCTGAAGTTCCATAATGTTGGCCAGGGATCCTTAAAAACTTTTCCAGGCTCAGAGGTCTAAGCCTCAGACTGCCAGCTGTCGAGTGTCATTTGATGCTTGCTGTGGATCTTTAAGACTATTCCTGAATTCTGAGCACCTAGTTCATTAGTTACCCTGTTTTGTGAGGGTTGTATCTCTTTTTTCTGGGTGAGAATTTTAAAGAAAAATTTTTTTCCTGTTTTTCTCTCCTTTTCCCTTCTCTCTTCTTTCTTTTCTTCCTTTCAAATATATTGAAATATTTTAGACATATAAAAGAATTAGGCATTTTTAAAAAGTGAATCTGAGAAGTGGTTTAATTTTGCTCCTGAAAAAAAAAAAAGAGCTTTGTAATGTTTTGAACAACCAATAAAAAAATTAAATTAAATTAAAATTAAAATAAATTTAAAAAAATAAAAATTGTTTTATAAAATAAATATCAATTCCAAATCAAAAAAAGAAAAAGAAAAAGAAAAGAAAATCTGCAAGAACGAGGATATTAAAAAGACTTTGCAGAGAAACATTTTTAGACACTATAGTGTGTAGAACTGGAAACAACCTTGGAGAACATCTGGTCTGGAGCTCTCAAACAGTTCCTTCAAGTCCTACAAGTTCATGAAGGTGCCTCAGGAGCTCTCTGGACTCCAGCCCACCATCCCCACAACAACCAAACAGCTCCAGTTTGATTGATTGCTTTATTGGAGTTTTGTGTAAACTTTATTTGAACAAAGAATTCTACTTTGATTTACCCAAAAGTGTAACCATTAATCTAGCCCAAACTACTCATTTTGCAGATGAGATAATAAAAGGAAGTTGGGGACTTTCCCAAGATCATACACAGCTTGAACTGAATCTTAAAGGTAGGAACATTTTGAATATGCTGAAGAAGGGAGGACAAAGTATATACGGGAACCACATCTCCATCTGGCCCACAGGGTAGAAAAGTGCTACCTGTCAAACCATGTAAACCTAAAGACAGTTTACTTTTGCCACCCGGTTTACTGACCAGAGACACACACAACACATAGTTAACACTCTCTAAGCCCCAACTCATAACCCATAGAATTGGAAAGTTATTAAATAATCACTTCATTGACTAAATGATTTTTTCCCCCATCTTTCAACTGAAAGCTATTTACTACTGTTTCTCAAAAAGCCTCCACTACAAGCAAGAAAAAGATAGGACCCCTTCATGGAGAACTTAATCCAGACTTGGCAGTGGATACATGGGAAGACAGTAAATGGTATACAAATCCTATGTTGTAAAATGTTGACTCTTATCACCTTTTGTTTTCTCCTTATTTAAAAAAAATGTGGAATTAATTTCACACCAGCTTTGAGAGCTTGAATCAAACACAAGTTGGGGAAACCAAAGGTTAGCAGAAGAAACTAACTCTTAAAAATAGTTGGGAAATAAAGAGAAGGACCCTGTTGCTTTTTTACTCTGCTGGTGAAAAGAAAATAGAAGGTATTCCCTCAATGTCCTGCTCTGTTTGGGTGAAAAAAAAAAAAAGCCCACCTCAAGCCAATTTCAGCACAAAAAAAAAAAAAAAAAAAAGAGTTTACAAGACCAAGGAATGCAAAAAGGCAGGAGGCGGGGGTGTTAATGCCCAGCCACATAAGGCCCCGTAATGGAGTCAGCAGGAACCCCTCGGCCCTCTCTCGTTTCTGCTTTATTCTGTGTTGACTTGCTCCTCACTCAAGTTATCTTGGAGAGAGACAAAACTTCAATAGTTATAAGCACACAAATTGAAAACCCTCCAGCAAGAGCACCTTTGGCTTGGGAGCTCCAGGTAGTAGGAATTGCATGTCACTGGCTTGACGGGACTCAGGTGCCCCTCCTTGGACATGTTGTTTTGATTCTGATTGGCCAGCCTGCATCACATGGCTCCCCCTGGCAATGGGAATTGGGAACTTACCAGAGGTTATATCCTGGTAGAACTGAGTCTTAAAAGATGGAACCAAAGCCAAGGGAAGAGTTGGAGAGGGGTAGTCCTCCAAAGGAGAAATGGGAGTCTGTTGCAAGAGGAAGGATATTGAACAGGAAAACCACAACTGTGGGCTCCCTTCACCTACTCAGCTCTACTTCCCTTTGCTGGTGACACGAGGCACACCTGATACCTTTAAGGGATCTAAAGTAACTAAGTAATAGAAACCATTAGCCAAGTTAGACTGCCATTCAATCATATGTTTGTTAAACAAACACTTACTTAGAGTGAGCCACAGTCTTGGACTGAGCACCTGCCAGGAGACTTGGGCAAACGGGCTGCCAGCAACCACTGTCTCAGGAAGCACCACAGGCCAAGTTCCGGGCTGCATTTGCAGTCTTGGTCTACTGTCAACTACTTTTTCTTCCTTCCTGCAAGCCCCAGGGCACCAGCCTTTGTTTTTTTTCTTTTTTTTCTACCCTTTCATGGGAGTTTTCTCTTCTCCTAACTTTGCCTAGGCATAAGACACATCTTTCAAGCTACCTCTGATACTCTTGAAAACAAGGAACAAGATTTTCTTCATTATCAGGACTGGAGATACACTGGGCACTGAGAGAAGTTCCAGGATTCAGATGCCTCACTGTTTTCTTATGATCATTTTTCCTGATTATGGAATAATGGAATCCTTTTCAGGTTCCCACCCTTGGGTTTCCTGATCTTTGTGGCATTTCTGTCTCCCTTTCCCCCCCCCCCTCCTCCTCCTCCTCCTTCTTCTTCTTCGGAATCAGGGATGGAACTCAGGGCTACTCAACCACTGAGCCCTATTTTGTATTTTATTTAGAGACAGGGTCTCACTGAGTTGCTTAGTGCTTCACTTTTGCTGAGGTTGGCTTTGAACTCATGATCCTCCTGCCTCAGCCTCCAAAGCCCAGAGATTACAGGTGTGTGCCACTGTGCCTGGCTTTTGTCTCCTTTTCTGAAATGAACCTTAGGGAATCTCTCTCACTCCTGGATATTGGCAGTGCCAGCTGCCATTCTGGAGTACTTTCTCTGGACCAGACACTGTGGAAAATACTTTAGTATATTATCTTAAATAATCCTCACCTCTCCTTTAAGGTGAATCCTGTTACTATAATTAAAGAGGGAACTGGTGCCAGGTGTAGTGGCACATACCTGTAATTCCAGTGACTCAAGAAGCTGGAGCGGGAGGATGCCAAGTTTGAGGCCAACTTGGGAAACTCAAGAAGACCAAGTGTCAAAGGGCTGGGATGTGGTTCAGTGGTAGAGCACCCCAGGCTAAATCTCCAGACACACACATACACACAAACTGGGGGACAGAGAGTTGTTTATCCGAATTCATACAGCCAGAGAGTGTCAGCCAAGGGACAGGTCCTGGGTCTGCCTGGTGTGAGAGCCAGGCTCTTAACTGCTACACACTGCCTTCGGGGGCCTCCCCTGCAGGAAGCCCTCTTTTAGCATTGGAGCCTGAAGGTACAGAATGACAAGAACAAACAAGAGTGTGCTGGGATACCCAGGGGCCCCCAAAGACTCAGGAAGGCCAGGTGCTTGTGAAGACCACAAGGCTGAGCAATTTCAACTTCAATCTTGGTCTGACAATGCACACACACATACTCAAAAGAGATTGCAACAGGAGATTTTTTCATGTGTTACTTCAATCAGGTACCTAGCCAGAACCATCTGTTTTATAAAGTTGACTGTTTCTCAACCTCTCAACCTTATTTTATTCATATCCCTTCTGATAAATGAAAGGTTTTTTTTACACTGTCATTTCAAATTCTATATGGTTCCCAGTGCTTTCTTCCCTTCCAATCTATTTTTTGCATTTCTCTCTCTCTCTCTCTCTCTCTCTCTCTCTTTCAGAGAGAGGCTAGTTTTTTATTTCACTCATTTATTTTTATGTGGTGCTGAGGATTGAACCCAGGGCCTCGCATGTGCTAAGCAAGCGCTCTACTGCTGAGTTACAACCCCAGCCCTATTTTCTGCATTTCTCTATCTCACTATCCAGTGGATTCCTCTGAGCTTCACTTCTGAAAGTTGAATTACAGAAGAAACCATCTCTTTTATTTCCCATATATAAAATTATCATGTAACATTATATGTGATTTTCAGAATACACCCCAGACACATTTAAAGTATATAACACCTTTGTGTTGGCATAGGCTTCCGCCAATCAGAACCCCTGCTGGCCTCTGGCACACTGACAGAAGCTAGACAAGCACCAAACCAAAAAACACCCCATCCAGGAGTCCTGCCATACTTCCCACAATTGAGGATAACCGAGTAGAACTGATTGTTTCTCTAATTTCGCCA